TTGCCTCTACCAGCGGGCTTTGTGTTCCCCCGCGGCCGTTTGACTATCACGGAGAGTGAGGAGCTTCGCGCACGAGGCATCTGCACCCGTTGCCGTCTCGCCGGTCACACCCCCTCTACCTGTCCGTATGCGGACGCCCTCCAGAGCCATTTTGCACAACAGGCTCGCCCTCAGGCTGTCCCCCCCGCCTCGACCTCCAGCACAGCAGCCACCTAGCCACGATGTCTCATTCCCCGGATCCTCCCACAGTAGCAGGCATTCCCGCCCGCGAGTCCACCTTCTCGCCACTTACTACTTTCTCGGAGGACTCGGATTCGACTTCCTTGTCGGTCGACCCTAGTGTTGCCGACCCACCTCCCACGCCTTCGCCTAGCGTCTCTCATGACCCCTCTCCTCCTCCTCGTCCTCCTACTAGGCGTGCCCTTCGCACGACCCGCTGCAGTGCCTCCCTTATTGCAGCAGAGGATATCATCGACTTCCTGGACCTTGAGTGTGTTAAGGTCCGCCAGGAACGTCTCCGCCTTAAAGAGCACACCCTCGCCGTGATCTCCCAGCGCTTACACAATCCCGATCGCACTTTACCGATTATTTCTGTGCGCCTCGGGACCTCTACTAGAGTCTATCGCGCATTATGGGACTCTGGCTCTACTGGCGACTTCATCCATCCTCGCGTAGTCAAGGAGGCATCCCTCTACACATCTTCCTACTCCTCCACTGTCACTGTCACCCTTGGCGACAACCAGGCCAAATCCTTCGTCGATTCTATGGTGCCTGATCTTCCATTTTCCTTTCCCTTGCGGATGCCCCGTAGCCTTCGCAAGGCCCCCCGGTTCCATGACCAGTGGACTTTCGACGTCATGGAAACCATGTATGACATTATTTTCGGCACTGCCTACTCACATAAATTTGCTCATTCTGGCCCCGATTGGGTCCACAACGACCTCGTCCTCTACACCAAGGACGATCAAGGGTATCATATTCTTGTTGGGCGAATCGGACCCTACACCTCCTCCCCCTGTTAATGTCTCCATTCTGACACCTACTCACTTTAACCACATTCTTCACCAGCCAGATGCCGAACTTTACATTGTCGACATCACGGACCTTCTTACCTGCAACTCCATGCATCAGGACGTTGAGTTRGTCGAACTCGATCCACCACCCCCCGAGCCTCCAGATCCTCCTGATTCGCCGACTCCTTCCATTTCCACGTGCTCATCGCACTTTGTCACGTCCTTTGACAGGGAGACGCCATCCGCTCCTATCCCTACGCCGACTCCTTCCACTCCTGCTTCAGACGYTGTTGCTGCTAAGGAGTTTGATGACCTCCTAGCGACCTTGCAACCAAGCRTCGCTACTCTCCTTCGCGAGTATCGCGATGTCTTTCCTTCTTCTGTCTCCTATAGTAGCATTCCTCCTATGCGTGACATCGAGCACCGCATCCAGCTCGAACCGGACTACCGTGTCCAGCATCGAGCCCCATACCGCCTCTCAGTCCCCGAAGCCCAGGAACTTAAACGCCAGATCGACGAGCTGCTTCGTCAGGGCTTCATTAAACCGAGCACGTCACCGTGGAGCGCACCAGTCCTCTTCGATCGAAAGAAGGACGGCGCCCTCTGCCTCTGTCTCGATTACCGYGGCCTCAACCAGTATACGGTCAGAAACAGTTATCCCATGCCCCGCGCAGATGACCTGTTCGACCGCCTCGCTGGCCACCACTTTTTCACGAAGATTGATCTTCGCAGCGGATACCACCTGATCTGCGTGGCCAAGGAGGACCAGCACAAGACCGCGTTTCGCTCTCGATTTGGACACTACGAGTTCACTGTCATGCCGTTCGGCCTCCGTAACGGTCCTGCCACCTTCCAGATGGTTATGAACACGATGTTCCAGGACCTTCTCGAGGACTTTGTTCTAGTCTACATTGATGACATCCTGATATACAGTCGTACCTTAGAGGAGCATATGACCCACCTCCGCACTGTCCTCCAGCGATTACGCGACCACGGATTCTATGCGAAGCTCTCCAAATGCGCCTTCGCTCAATCCAAGGTCGACTTTCTAGGACATCAGGTCTCCGAGCATGGACTCCACATGGACGACTCGAAGATCCAGGCTATCGTCGATTGGCCTACACCTACTTCTCTTCCTGCGCTACGTAGTTTCYTGGGGTTGACCAACTACTACGGTCATTTTCTTAAGAACTACGCGCAGTACTCTTCACAGCTGACTCCTCTGACCCGCGGACGTCTACCCTTCCATTGGACCCCGGCCCATGAGGATGCCTTTCGCTCTCTGAAGCGACTTGTCACGTCAGCCCCTGCCCTACACCTACCCGACTACTCCCGTCCATTCATCGTCACCACCGACGCGTCCGACTTTGCCATAGGAGCTATCCTCTCCCAGATTTACCCAGCCCCTTCTACTTCTCCCGACCCCACAGAGTCTCGTCTCCCTCGCATTCCTCGCTTTCCGCCCCCACCCCCAGCGACTGCGGCTCGACTTGCACCTATCGAGCCCACCCCCTCAGGGGCTCCACCTCCCTACACCCCTGACRTCGCTGATGACGGCACAGTGGAGTCKCACGATGGAGAGTGCCCAGTTGCTTATCTATCTCGACAGCTACTTCCTGCTGAGCGTAACTACACTGCTGACGAGCGTGAGGTCCTCGCGCTGGTTTACGCTGTTAAGAAGTGGCGTCATCACTTACACGGTCACACATTCACCGTCCTCACGGACAACTCTGTCCTCGCCGCTTTCCAGACGAAGCCGAAGCTGACCCCTCGCCAGGCTCGTTGGTGGCGTGATCTCGCAGAGTTCGACTTTACCATCAAGAAGATTACTGGGGAACGCAATCACGTAGCTGATGCCTTATCTTGCCGCCCCGATCTTCAGTGCGATGATCGCCAGCTCTCTGCCATTTCATTCCCCGTCATCCATCCCGCTTTCCTAGATGAGTATCGGTCGACATACCCCCAGTGCTCTGAGTTTCAGTCCATCTATGCTGACTTACAGGCCGGCAAGACTATCCCTAACTTCCAGCTCGACCCCTCTGGACTCCTATATTGGCTTGGTCGCCAAGGTAACCGTACTCCCTGCTTATGTGTCCCATCTATCGGTCAGCTTCGTGTTCGAGTTGTCGCTGAGTGTCACGATCAACGTGCCGCTGGTCATCTCGGTATCCTCAAGACCCTTGACCGACTCTACCGACATTACTACTGGGAGCACCGCCGTCCTTTCACGACAGAGTACGTTCGCACCTGCAGGACCTACCAGGAGGCCAGCATTCCCAACCACCCTCCCTACGGCCTTCTTCAGCCCTTACCCATTCCCACCCAGCGTTGGACCTCCGTCTCTATGGACTTCATCGGCCCACTGCGTCCCCCTACCCCACGAGGCCACGATGCCATCTTTGTTGTTGTCTGCCGATTGACTAAGCATGCTCACTTCCTCCCCTGCAAGTATGCTGGTTCAGCCAAAGACATCGCCACTCTGTACTTTAACCGTATTGCCATTCATCATGGTCTCCCCACTAGCATTGTCTCTGATCGCGATCCCCGCTTCACTTCTCATTTCTGGCGTGGACTTCATGAGACTTATGGATCCGAGTTTCGCCTTTCCTCCTCTTACCACCCCCAGTCAGACGGACAGACTGAGGTCACCAACAAAACTCTTGGGACTATCCTCAAGAAGTTTGTTGAGAATGACTCTGATTGGGATCTTCATCTTGCTCATGCTGAGATCGCTTATAACCACGCTATCTCTCCCGCCACCGGCATGTCCCCCTACTACTGTGACCTAGAATATCACCCCCGTGTCCCATCCGATCTCCTCCATCCATCCCAAATTCACCCTGACACCAAATGCCCAGCTCTCGATGAGTGGGTAAAGGAGATGGATGCGCTCCTTAGCAAGGCTCGAGAGAGCATTGCTCATTCCCAGACTCGCATGGCGACCCGCGCCAACCGCTCACGCATTGACCATCCCTTCAAAGTTGGTGATGAGGTCCTTGTCGACGCACGTCACTTCCAGCCCGAAGCCGACACGCTTCGGAAATTCAGACGTCGATATATCGGACCATGTACCATCCTCGCACCCGTAGGACCCAATCATGACTGTCCAGTGAGCTTCAAATTGAAGCTCCCCGATTCCATGTATCGCGCTAACCTACATAATGTGTTTCATGTATCTCTTTTGCGCCTTTTCAGACGGTCTCCTCCTCAGTTTCACGGTCGACCTTACCCTCGCCCTTCTCCCATCATCATTGAAGGTCACGAGGAGTTTGTCGTCTCTGATATTGCGTCTCGGCGTATGACTGATGGTGATCCTCCCCGCCTCGAGTATCTCGTTCGATGGAAGGGTTACCCTAACGAGGAGTCTACGTGGGAGCCCCTTGAGCACCTGAAGCATGCTACGACTTTTGTGCGTGCTTACGACCGTGCTCACCCTTTCCCTTCATCATCATCCCCCCCCACTTCTCGCCCTTCTACTGACCCATCTACTTCAGCGACCACTAACAACCCCCCGCCTCCACCGATGGGTCCTCCTGCTCCACCGGTACCTGCCTCAGGTCCTCCTTCCCCTGTGGATGTGGTTCCGCCTGTTGTTGCAGTTGAGTCCTCTCGCCCTCAACGCTGTCTCTTATACACATCTAGATGTGTATAAGACCCATCTACTTCAGCGACCACTAACAACCCCCCGCCTCCACCGATGGGTCCTGCTCCACCGGTACCTGCCTCAGGTCCTCCTTCCCCTGTGGATGTGGTTCCGCCTGTTGTTGCAGTTGAGTCCTCTCGCCCTCAGCGTACCCATCGACTTCCTTCTCGATATCGTGACTGACCTTACCCCCCATATGCCCTCTATCTCTTACCATTCCTGGACACTACGCAGCAGCTCCCGGTTTCGGCTTCTACATTCGACTTTCGACCTTGGTGCTTCTGTTCAGTACCAGAGTACATGTCGCGTTGTTCCGGACGTCCACTTGGTTTTCTGCATTACTCCTACTTCATCCTGGCTACTTCGATTCGACTTCAGTCTGGAGACTCATCAGTTGAACTACTTCACTTCTTCGGCTACAGAGTTCTCATCATCCCCCTGTATCCTTACCCTCCAGTCGCATGATGACCCCTATTTCCCCTGTCTATGTGGGTGTGTCCGCTTGCCGCCCTTCTGCCTTACCTTATGCTGCGCGCCCTCCTCTGGAGTGTACGTTTTCTTTGCTCGCGGCTCTTGGGCCACATGTCTATGCCGGCATAGCCCTCCCTCCTGCCAGGCTCACCTTATGCGTGCTCCCTTGTGTGAGTGCCATTCCCCTTTCAGCTGGCGGTGCCCGTTTGATGGTTTCCATTGAGCCCGGTGTCGTGCTGTTACTCCCCCCCCTGAGCCTGATGACCCTTACCTGGTTGTGCGAGCGCCCCCTTGGAGTTTACTCTAAGAGTTGTACTCGCCGCCTCCCCCCCTATTCCTACCTCTGCCATGCGAATGAGTTCCTTCCTCTTCTGTTCAGGCGTTGTGCATTGTGTACAGGGCACGTGAGATTATGCTACATTCTTTTCGACATAGGACATTGGCTTAGATATTCTTTGGCCTTTAGGGCCCTGATGTTGATTTATATTCAGCCTACTTGGCTCATGAGACATTTTTCTCTTTCTTGGCCGACACAGGTCAGACATTTTTCTGCTTTTTGGGTCGACTCAGACCAGACATTGTTGTATAGATTAGGCTCGAGGCTTAGTCCGCATTGCATCCCTTTTTCCTGCATGGAGCTCGCTCCGCATTTAGGATTGTTTTTCTTTGGCCGTTCCTTTTGGGCTCCCGCTCTCTTAGCGGATAGCGTGTTTTGATGTATCTCTGGATCCATTTACAGGTCCAAGGATCGTGGAGCGGTATCCCTCCAGCCCGGCAGTGAGGCCGGACCAGTTTCAGGCCACCGGCCTGACCCTGGTCCGGTACCAGGTTATTCCGCTACTGGACCCAGGCCGGTATATCACTTCGGCCTAGGTCCAGGGCGRCAGGTTCATTCATTCAATGGTTCGTTCGTTCATTGAGCCGGACTGGACCTCCACTCAGCTGTTGCTTCATGTGTGTGTCCATCTCCTCTCCCTCTCTCTCCTCTCTCTCACCATCTCCGCGCGTGTCCACCACGCGCTGCCACAAACAGCAAGATTGCAACATCTCTGCGTTCCGCCTGTACCACCTCGATGGACTCAATAGCAGTCAAAATATTAACAAAAATAGACCTTCCTTCAACAAACGCCCCTTGGTCCCTCTTGATCAACTTTGGAAGGATACTCCCCAGTCGGATGGCTAGTGTCTTGGCTAGAATCTTGTAATCTACATTGAGAACTGAGATTGGCCTGTAGTTCCTAACATTCGCCTTGTCCCCTTTTTTGAACATCACTGAGATGACTCCATGAGTCATCATCTCCCCCAGCTTGGCTCCTGACAGGACCTCGTTGTAAACCTCTACTAGCGTCGGTGCTAGTGCTGCCCAGCACCCACGGTAAAACTCCACTGTCAACCCGTTGACACCCGGGCATTTGCCATTTGCCATTACCTTTAAAGTGTGCTGCAGTTCCTCTGTGGTCACCGGCCTGTCCAAATACAGTTTCTCTGCTGTGGACAACCGTACCTCTATGTCTTTTCACAGGTCTAGCTCTTGAGAGAGGTTTGAGTGCGCCGTGTCCTTCAGCCTGCGGGAGGTGAGGATATATGAGTAATACAGCCTTGCGTACTCCAACATCTCGGTTGAGCCAGTGGCCGGAGGTGCCGAATGATCAAACGGGTGGTCTAACTGCACTACTTGTTGAAAAGAGGGGCTCGGTAGCAATGTTTCCCCTTGGCCGCGACCGCTCCGGTCGAGAACTTTCGGCTGCGGCCGCGACCGAAACGGGAGGGGGTTCGGGGGGCGGGGAAGGGGTTTCGAGTCGGGGGGGCTCCCCTACCCCCTCACAAAAACAAAAACATAAAAACTACAAAAACGG